GACACGCGGCGAATGAGACCAGATATCAACGTATCAGTTATCACCTATCACTACACCAGAGACGTAATCACTTTTTTGTTATTTTTATATTAAAATTTATTATTAAACTCATTTTTATATAAATATATTTAAACCTAAATTAATTCTATTATCAAATTTAATTTTATTAAAGTGAATCGTCAATCTAAACAAATATTTAATATTTATTTTTTCAGTACATAACTCCGTTAAATCTACTTAAGATAATCAAATGCAACCACGTAGAATCCCCACATTCTCTTTCATTTATTTTTAATAGATCAAATTACAGTCATTAAATTATTGGATCAAAAAGAATTATTTGGAGAGATCAAGAAAATTTAAAAGTTAAATAAATGCTGAAACTTAGACCAGCCACTTATATTGACTCAATTAATATAATATATATAAATGAGGATAGAACTCGCAATTTTTTATATGATGTTCGTGTATTTATTGGTGGAGTAAAAAAAATTATAAAGTCTTAATAAAAAATTAAAAATTAAAAATTCATATTATATATAATATATAAATAGTTATCAATCAAAATAAAAGAGACTCATTATTTTGTCAATTATCAATAAAAATATAGTTTAAAATAAAAGAGATAAACATAATCTTATAATAGCGGTTAAATAAAATTATGAGGTAAATGTCCTTTTCGAGACTTCTTTGCGGTAAATGTTAGAATAATATCAATATCATCAAGTGACTTAAATATCTTCCGCTCGGTATAACATATCATCAAGTCATTGAACCAAACATCGTTGATCTTATTGTGCAATTTAGACTTGATAATCTTCATTTCTGAAAAAGCTCTTTCAACAGATACTGTCGACACCGACAATATCAAAGCTAACTCAATAAGTTTATAAACCAATGAAAATACTAAATATTTCTCAGTTTGAACCATCTTCATAGCCAAACTTTGAACATCTTCAGAAGTGTAAAATGAAGCATTTTTCTCACTTAAAGAACATAAGTATCAAGTCGATCTCTTATTGTTCCTCGGTCATCATCAAAAAAGTCTGCATGATGAATATCAGCAAGACGAGCAAGCTTATCAACATTAAACTTGGAGAAAGAGTTCTTGGGGTCAAGACATGAGAAGTAATTAAGGATAATGTTACTTCCTTCACTAAAGTGATGATCAATCTCCATACATATTTTGTCAATAGCAACATAAGAAATCTCTGCACGATAATGATGAAGATTAGTGATAGTCCTCCCTTCTACCCTTGAACGATCCTGAACCGGTATTTCGTCATCCATATTTGGAATCGGAATACCTTTAGCAACACAAAAATCTTGGACATCGGAAAATAAATTATCCCAACCACTCTCTCTCGTTGTGGCCAACCGAGCTTTGACATCATCAACTAATTCCATGACAATCACAATATTAAGATCTTTTCTTTGCAAGATATTTGAAAGCTCGTTTGTGATACCCAACAACTTTAACATTAACTTCAAAATGAAAGCAAATTTAAAGCTCTCCATTTTTTTATCAAACTCGCTGCTTGATTGATACAAGTCCTTTCCTCTAGATATCTCACCACTCTCAAGTTTATTTAAAATATCTTGATGTTATACCTCTGTCAAAGTATTATGCCTCTCACAAGATGCACTTGTTATGGTCACAACCAAGGAGATGTACTCAAAAAAATCATGAATAGATGAGCAACTACTAGCAACATACACAACGACTAATTGCAAACGGTGAGCATATCAATAAACATAGAAATCATAAGTGTTTTCATCTAGAATTTTTCTTTGCAAACCATCAAATTAACCTCTCATATTTGAAGTTCCATCATATCCTTGCCCTTGTATCCTTAAAATCGATAACGTGTACTTATCAAGAATACCATAAAGAGCATTCTTTAATGACTCTGATGTAGTATCTTGGATATGATTTAGAGCAATAAATTGTTCTGCAATATTCTCTTTGTCATTCAACAACCTAAAATAAGTTTAATAAGTTTACTCGGCGGCATAAAAAATAATAGGTAATGAAAATTGGAAAATATAACTACTAACCTCAACATCACTGCCATTTGCTCTTTTACATATATATCATGTGACTCGTCAATAAGCACTGTGAATTATCTATCACCAAGTTCTTCCATAATCACCTTGGTAACTTCATGTGCACAACACGTTGCAAGCTCCTTTTGAATGTCACCAGAAGTTATTGTGCAATTTTTTCCACCACGGTCAAAAGCACCCCTCACTTGTTCATTCTGAAATTTTACCCAATCTACCATCTCTCTAAAATTACCCTTACTTAGAGAAGTAGAGGATTCATCGTGGCCACGGAAAGCTATGTCTTGTACTATGAGATATCTTGAACAATCTACAGAACAAGTCAAACAAATCTTATACAATTCTTCTAAATCATTGGTTGCTTTAGCAAACTTACTTGTCACACTTTGTCTTTGATTATTATAATCATTGTAGTGCTTGACACATGACTTGTGTAAACTATTATGACTACTATTGTGACCTTTCAAGCCTTGATATGCATGCTTCCAATCTCTATATCCGCTTTTAGTGAAGATTTCAAAACCAAAGTGATCGGTCCTCCCAGGTTTCTTAAAGAGAAAGCAATGAAAAAAATAAGTTGCATTCTTCATCTCACTGTATTCTAACCATGTATAATTCTTATACCATGATTTACTAAATAATCTTTTAATACTCTCAAATGGAGTACGGGGAAAGTTTTGCAAATCTGGTTGCATTGGACCCTTCAATGTATAAATCCTCCTCACTTGGTCTTGAATATTCGGAGCATACTCATTAATTTATTTCCTACGACCTGGATCACGCACAATCTCATTTGGATTAAACTCATTAACTCCATTGGACAGTGGTTCTAATTTGGCTTCTGATTGCACAACATTCATATTCTCAATATTTTCTCTAGCAACCAAAAATCTCCTCATCTCTGAACAAAAGATAAAATAATTACAAAATTGTAGTTTCAAAATTTAAAAGAATAATAATCAAATAAAACAAATAAGAATAAACAATGCTCTTCAAACAAATAAAACAAAATTTAAAACTCTAATAAATAAATTAGTATTTGTAATTGTACATGGTTAATGAAACAACCTAAACTTTAATAAATAAAGAAATTAGTACATGGTTAATCAAACAACCTAAACTCTGATCAATAAATTAGAATCAAACATTGAATTAAACAAGTATAATATATTGACTTATTACTACAAGTTTCATTTGAAAAATAGCAACTAGCATAATCACTAATGGATTTGTAATTGTAAATATGTCAATTCAATTTTGTACTAGTTTGGTGGCTCAAATTAAACTTTTTGCATCGAACATTTGTCAACTTTTCATTGAAATAAAAGTACAAAAAGAGAAAAATTATATATCTGTTTATCTAATTCTTTACCAACATATTATTAGTAATTTCTAGATCCTTATTTCTTATTGTGACAAACATATCAAATAGATTAACAGACCAAGTCAAACACATGTAATATATTTTTATTATATAGAAAGAGAAACACACACATCTACTATTTAATACTCCCTCCGTTTCTTTTTAAGTGTCGTTTTAGAAGTTTTTTTTTGTTCCTATTTAAGTGTCGTTTTGATGTTTTAAGGTTACAATTTACCAATTATACCCTTACTTTTTAAATAAGTCCACTTTATATTTTATAAAATTTTCCTTTCTTAATATATGTAATAACTCACTTCACATTTTCCATAAAATTCTCTTTCTTAATACGTATTCCTATTTCCATGAAAATTTAATATATGTAATAACTCACTTCACACTCACTTCAAATTATATTCCAATATTACATAGAAAAATGTTTAGCATTAAATTTTGTCAAAGGAACAAAATTTTCAATTGAAGACTAATAATTCTATAAAAAGGATTAGTACCATTGTTTAAATTATCCCGTACAAAACAAAAGAGCTGTGGTGGAACAACAAAAGACTCCATGGATCTTCAAAAAGAAGAAAGAGTGGAAGAGTCATTGGAGCAAGAAGAAGGGGAAATCGTGGAAAACTCTTTTGACAAGATTCAAGAACAAGATGACAACGAAGAAGAAGAAGTATTATCAAGAGTTGTACTGGATTTTGATTTAAATGAAGAGGCAGATTATGAATTTGATTTGAACAAATTTCCTGAAGAAGACGAAGAAGAAGAAGGAGAAAAAAACGGAGAAGAATCTTCCCACCATACTGAGTTTCGACCTGTGATAAAAAAGATGATAAAAAAACTTCTTCCAAAATTTTACTGAAAAATATTTGTGGACTAAGTATGGAGTATCTCATTTTAGATTTGGCTTAAGTGCATAAGTTGTAGGAGTTGTTATTTAAGAAGTCCTTATTATTGGTATTTTTTTTTTATAAAATAAGTATGGAGAAGAATTCCTTGTTATTGCTACAATTTAGGAATGCATTTCTTAAGTTCATTCTTATTGTTTTTTATTGATACATTAAAAAAAATCATGGCAAAAGTTTAGGAAGTTACGTGCAGGAGATTTGCTAAAGTTTAGGAAGTTACTGTAACTTTTTATGGCAAGAGTTTAGGAAAATATAAACTTAATTCTCACGCACAATACATATGATAAAAGTGACTACATCCATAAACTATATTTATGGCAAAAGTTACTGTAACTAAATTTGTTACTCCATAAACTAAATTTTAGGAGTACAATCCATAAACTTAAAAAAAAACTCTATTTGAAAATCTCAAATGTGACTACATCCCACTTACAATAAGTGTTACTCCATGTTTAAGTAATTCTTGACTTCTTGTATTAATATTGGATCACACTTAATTTGAATTGGTAGTTGTCCTATTCTTTCTAGCCTTTCCTTATTTATATGAGGAATTTTATATTTATTGGAACCTGTCACTTTCATGATCTCTACCATTCATAATTGCACTGATACAAATATACGATTGGACATAATTGAAGGAAAATTTTCAAATGACTTCACCACTGCATCGATAAGTTGATCAATAGTTTTTGGTGCTTCCTTGTATTGCATGATTGTATAGCCGAGAAAAACCCAAGATCTAAGATATTTAAATATGGAGAGTTTGCAGGCTGACACATTAAACGAATATCAAACCCATCCTTGGTAGCAGCCTCACAGAACAAAGGATCATTATGGTTTATATGTGTCCTTGCGTTATCCTGCTGAATAAATATTGTTGACTTCAAGTCATCTCTTGGCCATTTTTCTCTTATAGCCGGTAGGACTTTGTCAATAAGGAATGATCTTACCACATCTCTCTTAACCGAAGTTATTGCTTTTGTTATCATTGTTCCTGCAACTCTGTTAATACTTGACCTTTGAGCCGGTTCATGGGTAACAAATGGGAAAACACCAATTTTACCCGAAAAAGTTTCATTTTCTCCTGCGTCAAATCGTGGCCGAGTTTGAGCAACTAAGAACATAACTTTGGCAATGAAATTTTTGCTCTTACATGTTTGATATGGCTCATCTTCATCTGGGAGCAAATAATACTTCTCGTATTTTTTAGTCATATAAAACCATTTTTCATCAATATGAATAATATTGTGCATGCTTTTAAACATTGGATCATGTGGTGTACCTTCAAGCATTGATAAACAAAATTCCAGCCTAGATATTTTGTTTTCTTCTTTCAATAATGGTTTTATGGCATTTGAATTATGCCGTATAAGCCCTGATTTTATAAGCCTGAACACCGATGTTGGATTGGTTTTCAACCCAAAAGCTAAAGATCGAATGTTTGTTCTTTGACTGAAAGGAAGTTCACGAATTTGATTCTCATCAATTGAAATTCTCTTACGTCCACAATTTTTTATCTTCCTATGAGAGACATCACGCGTTTCACTTTCTTTTGCTCTTTTCCAAATACGTTGAACAGTTCTTATAGGAACCGAATTTGATGAAGCCACCTCATTTGTAGCTCCTTTACGTAATTGTCCATCAACGCTTTTTTGTAGTAGCTCATGATAAATAGACATGCGTTCTTCATTGCTTAAGACTCTTAATTTCTTTCTTTATCTAGATTCTGCTTCAAAATTTTCTGCAACATACACTATAATTTTTTTAAAAAAAATAACAAAATTACTAGAAACAACCACATAAAAAATAAACACACATGAAATATCACTGTGAATTTAAGTATAGAAACCACCACATAAAAAACAAACACACATGAAATAAAAAATATACCAATGTCATTGTTTCCTTCAACCTCCTCTTGTAAATTATCTTCATAGGACTCATCAATGTCATTAGTTGCTTCAAGCTCCTCTAAAGCCATATTTGATGAGATGTAAATATTTTGAACTTATAATATGAAACCATATTATATATACTACTCCTTTTATTATTGGTTCAACCTCATCATTGGTTTTAATTTTATGGTGGGAAACTTACGTTTTTATTAAAATAATTGGAGGGAATAAGTATTTTTACGGTGGGAAATTTAAGTTTTCCTTTAGCCATTCATTGAAACAATAAGCAATAAATATTTTTATAGTAAAAGTAAATATTTAATGAAACAACAGTACATATTCCTATAGCATGCAAGATTAATTCCAAAAATTTAGGAGTAGTTACGGAAGAGAGAGAGAGAGAGTGGTGTGCCCCAAAATATGGAATTAATTATTTGAATAAAATAATTTAATGAGTTTTATTTGGAAAGAGAATGAGGATAGAATGGGAAAAAAATTATAGCAATTCATGTATCTTGATTGGAGAGCTTTTGACTAAAACGTCAATTAAAAAGGAACGGAGAGAATAGTAAACAAAGTTTTCAATTTTCGATAAATAGATATTCGTAGAATAGTTGAAAAAGACTCATGAACTATAACTATTTAATGACTAAGTATTTTCTTATACACTAAATGACTATGTATGATAGGTAATGATTTTTTATTTATTTAAAAATAGTAATCAAAATTTTCAATTTTCGATAAATATGATTTAAAATATAATGAATAAAAAAAATATACATTATAGAATAGTAATAATGGTTTATCTGTTTGGATTGAATGTTGTTTTCTGCTTTAATGTTGTTTTAATGTTTCTTTCGTATGTTTTAATGTCAAAATAAAAAACAATATTTATACATGGAAAGTTGTATCTAATAACAATGACAATTGGGATATTTATACATGAATATTTTTATATATTTAGATATTTTTATAAGCAATAACTAAACAAAAAATAAAATTTATATATAAAATTTTTTTTATTATTAATTTAAATATTTTTATATAAAAAATGATATTTTTTATCTAAATATTTTTATCAAATAATGATATACAAAAAAATCTATCTAAATATTTTTATATACAAAAGTTTACTATTTATCTAGAAATAATACCTAAACAAAAATAATATTTATATACAAGAAAAAAAATCTATTATTGATCTAAATATTTTATATTAAAAAATAATATTTATGATTCAAATATTTTTTATTCAATAAATGATATATGGGAAAAAATTTATTACTGATCTAAATATTTTTATATACAAAAATTTATTATTGATCCAAATATTTTTTATAATGACACCTAAACAAAAATAATATTTATACCCTAGAACATGAAGTTATTGATTAAAATATTGACTATTAACGAAAATGTGAAATTACAAAAATTTACTATTGATCAAAATATTAATTATTAAAAAAAACATAAAATTACTGATCAAAATATTTCTTTATTAATTATATATTTAATTTTTTTTAAATAAAAATAATTAAATGTATAGTTGTCTTGTTTTATCAAGTAACATCACTATTATAAACAAAATTGTGAAAATTAATGTACCTCCACTTTGATCCATGTAATGTTGCTTGATCTAGACCGTGATACTCGAGCTTCTCTTTGAGAGCGGAATACTTGTATTGATCTAACAAAATAAAAACATATATTTAGAACAATCTCACAGAAATGATTAAATATACAAATACACACGAATATTTAGAATAATCTCACTTACGTGTCAATCAATAACTTCATATCTGGATAATTTGTCCATTCACCATCTACCGAATTCAGATAATACACCACTTCTTTGAAAGGATCAATAGCAACCAACAACCAGTGATGTCTATAAATTAAAACAAAAGTTTAGATGAAAATCTTCAACACAAAAGATAAAAAGATTAGAATGAACTTAGAATGAAGTACTAACCCCACAGGAATCGTATTATACGGTAAAAGATATAAGCTTTATGTACTGCTGGCCATGAATCTCCCAACTAAGTGATTTCTTATTGAATCTGGATCCTGAACAATTGACGCTCCGTTGACACGGGAGACAGACACGAAATAGAATCTGTTTGAGAATTAATTCCCGCGCATCATTGTTTCATACAAGAACCTTAAATAAAAACATAATAAACATTAGACTATTTTCATTGAAATGTGTAAATAAATTGTTTGACTAATTAAATAATAGATTGATCGCATTACCGAATGTATGAGTGTACAACACCGATGCCTAATTTTATATGCTGAAAAATTTGTTTCATTTCCTCTTTTACAAATGTTTCAAAGTAAGAAAAACCAAATATACCTTCCTCCATATCCATTTGACGAATAACACCATTCATCAAATATGATGTTCGCACAAGTGTTTCAAGACACATCCGGAATCGAGGTACAAAAGGTTTTCTTGCCCCGGTTTTGGAAGATCATTTTTCTTGTTGGGTACGCTACTAAATTTCTGGCTCATTTGTTGTGACCGTTGAGTAGGTACCTAAAAATCATATAACTTAGGTAAATTATAAAATCATGCAGTTTTTAAATTCGGATCATATAATTAACACTTTAAATGTACCTCTTTCTGTGATACAATAGACTCGATGTGCCGCAAAATCTCTTTATCTTTAGATGCGGGTTATGTAGAAGTCTGAAATTAACATGTAATAAAAATGTACGTAATGGTTTAGAATTGAAACTTGAATACTAAAAGATTCATAATGGTTTTCAACATACCTCATCATCTATGAAAATGAGGTCCGACGGTCATGCAACAAATGATCCTATTGCATCTCGTAGCAATGTTGTCTCTAAAATAATGTTAGGTACCGGTAGCAACGCATGCAGGTCTAATGCAACATCAACCGATACTTTCAGATGTCCATTAGGGAGAGGTCTATGGTGAAGTAAATCTCCCAAAGTGTTATGCACTTTTCCCTTGCCAACTAAGCGATAAGTCGGTGACGATAAGTATAGCTGACAAGATGAAATGCCCTAAACCAATAATAAATATGTTACTGTTAATGTGTATATATGTCAATTAAAATAAATGTGCTAGTTTAATTTCATAGTAACATATATAATTACCTCGGGAAATTTATTTTGACAATTGATACTAGTTTGTCACTAGTTTCTTTCGCCTCTGATGCACTTTTGCGCCATATATCTCTCTCTATCCTGTTGCAATTCACGGACTTGCGCCTTTAATTCCTCCAACGTTTGCATCACTTCTTGATTGCTAGGATTTCTTTTCCTTGGATGCTTATACAAGAAAGATGTAGTCACACCATGTCCTTTATCCCTCACCCGACCGGGATACTCAGCAACATTTAGTGCACGACTAAATACGCTCATGTTATCCTGGTCCTCATCTATGGTTATCGATTGAGATAGAGTCTCCTAAAATTCATTTACATATATATATCGAAAATTATTAGTGGAGAATAAAAATTAAGTATATACTAATAAACTTTTGGTTTACTTAAAGACACAATGTTATACTTACACATTCATCATAAATATGTTGAACATCTTCCCTAACAACTCCATCCTTGCCCATACGAGCTTCCTTCTACAAAACATGCGTCAGAAGTAATGTTTTGTCACTTTTCGTCTCCTCTAACTGCGCATTGACACAAATCATAAGATCATCAATTATAACACATTGAGACAATTAATAAGATCGTAGCATTTATATATACTTACAATTTTTTCTTGTAAGCGTGCATATCCCAAACGCCCTTTTCTGTATGGATACATGGGTGTTGATGCTCTCTCGCGATTTGTGTCACTCACTTTCTTGAATTTCTCATTTTCTATTCGTTTGGATACAAATTCATCCCATTCTTCGGGTCTAATGAAGTTGCTATACTTCATTGGACGGTCCGCTTTAACAAGATTTCCTTGCTCATCCTTAAGAAATTTGTTTGTTAAAAAATTTCTCCACCCTCTGTGTCTTTTTCCGGCCACTTGAAAACAATACTTTTTTCGGTTATCTTCAATGTTAAAAGACCTCTACGAAAAAACATACGCATTATAATGTGTTAGTATAAGTAATTTAAAGACATTACCATGTGATCTTGATTAAGGGAACAAATATTAAGCATACATATAAGAAATTCCCAAGCCTTACTTAGTTAGGGACTAAAATAACAAAAACATTATACTTTAAAGCTAAATTATATGGTACCTGTATATCAGTCCAAATTTTGTCTTTGTAGGAATCCAAATCTTTATTAGTCCATTTATCAAAGGTGATTGGAACGTGCATACGAGCAAGTGTATCAATGTAGCTTGTCAACTTTGCACCATTAGGATCGATTAGTTGGTTATCATCATTCCAATGTACATCATATTTTACTCCTTCATCTCTATCAAAAATGATTTTTCTCATAATAGTGATGCCTCGTGTAATTTCTCCCTCTGATGTCTTATTTGGAGCATTCGTATCTTGTGAGTTTTCTTGATTACTAGCCATTGACCTGTAATAAAGAAAAAAATAAAAATGAAATGACAAATATAAAAATCCACTAAGGAAATATAAAAAAAAATGAAATGCTCATCCATCATAGCAGTTCATTCAAATGGTTATTAGTCAATTAAGCACTTCTTGACCAAGCAATTATTTTGGTAAAGATGCGTGACTTAATTGTTTTTTTCTTCTTTTCTGTTTGACAGATTTGTTCATCATTAAGAGGACAACTTCTACAAGTGGTGGAACGGCCTAAAGAAGAATGAGAACTTCTGTATAGAAAATAAAATACCATGTAGTTCAAAATTCATCACATTTGTGTTGATGGGTTTAAATGAGAATTTGGTTTGATTAATAAAAGAATAATGAATATTCAAGTTCTTGCAATGTGATAGCCTCTTCTCTATTTAGTTTTTATAATAGAAAACTTGAAATATGATTAGTAAGAGAAATCTCCTAATTACTCAAAGATTAAATAGAATCAATGCGCTGGTAGATACCGGCAAAGTACCAGAATCTACGCGCTGGTACGCAACCCCCTAAAAAATGCAATTTTATTTCCTCGGATTGTTATCTGAACCCCTAAAAATTGTAGTTTTAGCTGCTAATGAAGCATATAAGGACTTAAGGAATAAGCTCATGCAAGGAGAGCTGAAGATTTAGTTTTTATTCATACAAATTTTCGTCTTCTCTCGAGAAAGTGTAAGACTTATAACGGAGTTGGAACAAACATGTAGAAAACAGCAACAATGTTACAACAGCAAGAATGACGTACTTGAACTACGGCGGTCTACGACGATCAACAACTTCTTCGTTTTCGTCAAGCAACTTCTTCGTTTTCGTCAGCAAGAACAATGTTACAACTTTTTCGTTTTCGTCAGAGAATAAACGGTCGGAGAAGAAACGATTAGGAACTGTCGGAGAAGAAACGGTCGCGAAGAAGAAGATAACGATTAAAAATGAATGAATAGGGTTCTGAAAATTTTATATTTTAATTTTATAATTTGACCTAAGACAGCGCTTTTTAAAAGCGCTTTCTATCATACAAGATCTAGCAGCGCTTTCACGAGAAAGTGTTTTCTTAAGTGGGGCGAATTTAAGACCTTTAGCAGCACTTTTTAAAAGCGCTTTCTAAAGACTGTTTGTAGCAGCGTTTTTTTTAGCGAATTTTTTAAAAGATCTACAGCAGCGTTTTCTCATTAAAGCGCTTTCTAAGATAATTTAGCAGCGCTTTTTAAAAGTGCTTTCTAAAGACTGTCTATAGCAGCGCTTTTTTTTAGCGAATTTTTTAAAAGACCTACAACAGCGTTTTCTCATTAAAATGCTGTCTTTTTGGTGATGCCAAAAGTCAATTTTGGCGTAGTGATACACCTCTTCGTTTATATGACATGTAAGAAAAACAGATTTAACATCTATTTGATAAAGCTTAAAATCCACACAACAAACAAATACTAAAAGGAGTCTAAAAACTTCTAGACGAACTACATGAGCATGAGTTTTCTCATAGTCTATTCTTTCCGCTTGACTATATCCTTTTGGGACTAACTTCATTCGGATTCCACAACAATCAACAAATACAATAATACTCTTGAAGCACTCACGCCCTAATTATTACCTAACCATAACAAACAATTGGACCTAATACCTGTTTGGAATTTACATGACTCATACTCAACATGAATTTTATGATATTTATGATGTGTGTAAATAGAAGGAAGGAAGGCAACATAGAATTTAAGCATGCTAGTGGTCATGTCTATATTTTTAATAATTTGTTTTGATGTTAACCTGTAATAGGGTTGTAGTAAATTGATGAAGCTAAGTACAATACTATTATCTTGTTTAATTTATTCTCAAGTTACAAATGATCTTTTATTGGCCGGTAGAGTCAAGTTTACAAAAATCTTCCTCTTTGTAAATAGTTTAATTGTTTAGAAATGATAAGTTAACTATTGTCTTTTAATACTACAGGTTGCATTTAGAAGGAATGTATTTGTCTTGACATGCATTCTTAAAGAAAAACGGATCCCAGCATTAACCAAATATTAAAGTCTCTTGGCTATGGTAGCCTGAATGCATGGCCTCTTAGTTATGTCCAACAGAAACAGAAACATGTGGTTTTGCTTTAGATCTTAAAGCAAAAAATCAGAAATCATTCCAAATTATTGACACCACCACCACCAGTTCAGCTGTAGTTTTGATGGGCCAAGGTTGTATTGATGGTAATTAATGCATTAGGTGTTGACACCAGTTTAACTGTAACTTGGATAACTGTTAAATCTAAGTATATGTTAAAACAAAACGTCTGTAGGTACACTTTGCAGGCAGCAGTAATATTTGGTACAATGTGCTGGTTATTTGACAGCTAAAAGTCTCTGCAATAGCATTGAAGTTCATTTACTTTTCATTCAACCACCCAACTCTATCTTCTCCTATATAAAAGGAGAACCATCTAGGCTGTTATAGTATACTTTTGAGTGAGAGAAAAAGGTGAAGAGAGAAATGGCTACGTGGTGCATTTGGGTGGTTTTGGCTCTTGTTCTAGTTGCAACAAGTGCAAGAAATGTGCCTGTTGGAGAAGGTGGTTTGAAGGATCAGAAGAATTTCATTGGTGGGTTTGGTGGCTTTTCAGGAATTGGTAACAATGGTTTTTCTTTTGGAGGTGTAGGTTTTGGCGGTGGTGGTGACGCTGGTGGTGGCGGACTTGGCGGACTAGGAGGTGGTGGTGGTGGATTTGGTGGAATAGGAGGTGATGGACTCGGCGGAATAGGAGGCGGGGGTCTCGGTGGAATAGGTGCCGGTGGACTTGGCGGAATAGGAGGTGGTGCACTCGGCGGAATAGGAGGCGGGGGTCTCGGTGGAATAGGTGCTGGTGGACTCGGCGGAATAGGAGGCGGGGGACTCGGTGGAATAGGAGGTGGTGCACTCGGTGGAATAGGAGGAGGTGGTAGTAGTGGACACAGTGAAATAGAAGGGGGTGGACTCGGCAATGATGGCGGACTAGGTGGTGGTGGTGACGGCGGAATAGGTGCTGGTGGAACCGGTGCTGGTGGCCTCGCTGGTTCTTCTGGACTCGGAGGATTTAACGGGCTAGGTGGTGGTGGACTTGGAGGTTCTGGTGGTAGTGTCTTTCCTCATCCTTGAGTGACAAGTTAATCACTATATATGGAATTTACTCTATTTTACTATTCTTAAGAAAATAAAACTTAATTATAGTATGTTTATTGTTATCTCACAATTGTCTAATTTTAGTGTTTTATCAAAATTATATATTTTTTCACTTAACCAATAAGTGTTATAGCTAGTACTAGTACTAGTTTGTTATGAACTTATCATGTGTTCTTCTTTCTAATATTAATGTAAGGCATATATACATTTCATGATCTACAAGTTTATTAATTAAAAGTTGAAAATTTTAGCATATGAAATATTATTTTTGTAAAACTCATTCTTACCTTAACTATTATAGTAATAATGACAAGAATGTGCAATTACACTTAGAATGTGCAGCAGGTGTGTGGTGAAATAACAGTTACATTTAGAATTACTCTAATATAGTTTAACAATGAGATGAAGTTTAACTAAAATATATCTGAACAAAGACAAAATAATTTGCTTTAATATATAGTATGGTTATAGTATGTTGTTGAACAACACTGGCTTTTCTTTACATACCAAAATTAATTTAACAATGATATATTTTCGTTATCACCTAAGAATCAAATTCGCATTTCTTGAATCTCGTCCTTAGCAAGAGTTCCATGACGCTTGGTTTAAATATTTTTGATGTTTAGATATATAGTGGTCCCTTTAAAGAAAAAACTTTATGATAGTTGATCTTCATTTAATTATTTTGCTAATATAGTAGTTTTTGTTAAATTGTAATTCAATGGTGCCGAAACAGTGTGTGTCAAGGGAGGTTGTCTGATCGAAGAACTTGTGGATCGAAATAAGCTACACACAGATTTGATTGGTTTTAGATTTAAATAGATTTGATTTAGATCTAAAATAGATAGATTTGATTTAGTACCAAAATATATATTTTTGACTTTTATAGTTTTGGGTTTTGGCTTAGGGAGCAAGATAACCTAAATCTATGAATAGAGAGAGTAATCCCTAATTTTGTAATCAAGTCAATTCATTGTAATCACAGAATTTACAGTTGCAAGTGATTAATAAAGTTTTACACAGTTTGTGGACAGAGAGAAACTCTGCAGAAAATAATTTTCTTCTTTCCTTTCTTTTCTTTTCTCATAATTCATTGTCATTGTGTGGTGATATCAATCTTGTTCATCAAGATTGGTAGAAATTCATCATAGATATTTTGGTGGATTTCCAACATCTGGTATTAGAGCTCGGTTAATTGATTTAAGGGAAGTATCGATCAAGAACGATTGAGGAAGAAGAAGAATTCACGATGGCGAGTTATGAGAATGCAAATTATCTAGCAACTCTACCAATTTTGAAAGTAGACAACTATGAGAATTGGTGCAAACAGATGAAAGTTTTATTCAGGTGTCAAGGTCTTTGGGATCTTGTAAAGGATGGATTGGAAGCACTTGGAGAAAACGCTTCAGAAGAAGAAAAGAAGAAACACACAGAATCTGAGAAGTTGAGTTATAAAGCACTATTTATAATTCATCAGTGTTTGAGTCCAGAAAATTTTGAAAAAGTGAGTGATTTATAATCTGCAAAAGAAGTTTGGGAGGTTCTTGAGAAGTCTTTTGGTGGTACAGAAAATGTGAAAGAAGTGAGGTTACAAACTCACAAGAGAATATATGAATTGCTCCAGATGGAAGATAGTGATAGCATATATGATTTCTTCACCAGGATTACAAAACTAGTGAATCAAATCAAGGTATGTGGAGAAACATTAACAACAAGAGTTGTTGTTTCTAAGATCTTGATATATTTGGCTCCTAAGTTCGACCACGTGGTGGTGGCTATAGAAGAGGGGAAAAACTTGTCGAAATTGACAAAGGAAGAGCTTCAAAGGACGCTTGAATCTCATGAATAGAGAATGACTGGAAGAGCTACAGGAAAGTCGAAGAGTGATGTGGCTTTGCAGGCACATTCAGCAAAAGAAACCAAAGGCAAAGGAAAGTGGTTCGACAGAGGTAGAGAGGACTACAACAAATCGAATGGTGGAGGAAATCAGAATGAAGGAAACGTGTCGAATCAGAGAAGACCATACCAAAGCAACCAAAGAGGTGGTGTTTCAAATAGAGGAAGATGTGGTGGTCGAAAACCTGACAAGAGTCACATTCAATGTTACAATTGTCAGAAGTATGGCCACTATTCGAGTGATTGTCTAGAAAAGCGAAAGAATCAAGAAAGTGATGGAAAGTTCGCAAAACATGAAGAAGAAGAGATGATGCTGATGATCACAAAAAGAGATGAAGATAGATTTAAGGACAATGGTACTTGGACTCAGGATGCTCATCACATATGTTTGGAAGAAAACACTGGTTTGTCAACATAAAGCCCTCAATGAAAAATATGGTAAAATTCGCAAATGACAATACCCTAGCAGCTGAAGGTATTGGTGATTTTATGATTATGATGAAAGATGGTAAGATGTTAGTAATTTCCAATGTGTTGTACATACCAGGCATGAAGAGAAATTTGCTCAGTATAGGGCAGTTGGTCGAAAAGAATTATAAAGTGTTGATCAAAGATAAGATGATGAGAGTCTTCGATGCAAATGGAAGATTAATCTTGAAGGCTCATATGTCTCAGAATAGAACTTTCAAGATCGAACTAAATGTGATGGAGCACAAGTGCCTTTCGACTGCAGCTAGAAGAGATGAATGGATATGGAATTATCGACTAGGTCATCTCAACTTCAGAGACATCATAGATTTGAAGAGAAGAAATATGGTTTAAGAATTTCCAAAAATCGACATTCCAAACGAGGTATGTGAGGAATGTGTGTAGGCGAAGAAACACAAGAATAGCTTCAGCAAGGATGCAGGAAGTAGGCCTAAGGTTATTCTTGAAGTCATATACTCTGATGTATGTGGACCAATCCAGGTGAATTCGATGGGAGGTAACTGTAACACAGTGGGAGAACTGACTTGGTATTTTGCGTTTGATCGCAATTGTTGCGGATAGCAAGAGTCGCCACTGACTTTTCTTTTATCCAATAAGGAATGGGTGAAAAGAACAGGAAAGGCCTTTAGAGATGTTTTCTTGAGTTCGGGGGGTAGGTTATGAAAAGGGAAGATGTTAGCACCCTTTTCATCCGTAGTTATCTACGGGCTCTTGGTTGCTTGCTAGATCATTTGCTTTGTTTGAAAATATGCTTTGTGGTGTGGGTTTAAAAATATTTTGAAAACGTCTTTGTAATGATTCTCGTCTCTATAAGAATGCGTACAAAATGTTGGTTTTAAAAAGAGTTCAAAGAGATGTTTGTTGTGGAAGATGTTTTTGAAAGTGATTTTGAAAACGCCTTTGTAATGATTCTCGTTTCTATAAGAATGCGTACAAAGTGTTTTGACTTTTGAAAATGCTTCAATTGAAAGTGTTGGTGTGAAAATGGTTTTTTTAGTTTGTGGGCAAGCAACTACGAGCTTCCTACCTACTCAAAAGGTATAATGTTCTTTTCCTCCTAATTTAGATGTTGCTATCTTACCATTGATTTGGTAAGAAGCCCCATCGTTGGATGTGAAGGGACGGGCGCAGGTCAATCGTACAGTCATCGAAGGCAACTTGTGAGATACTTTAGCAATTTTCGTAAGGGACTAGATCGTTTTACCAAAGGCAACACCGAGGGACATCGAAGGACATCGAGGGACTACGATCTTTTTTATCGAGGGTCTTTGCTAAAGCGTCCCACATTCGAGAGACATGACTGTTTTTTTAGGCAACAAGCGAGGTTACCCTAAAGGTGTGTGTGTGAAAAGTATGTTTGATTCAAATTAATTTGTCTTTGATCAGGGATATCTTGCGATTGATTTCAATCTTGCTATACACGCCTAGTTACTATACAGTATAAAGAAAACAGTAAATTATGGAAATTTAAAATTCTACGCTATTACAGAGCTTTTGGGAATAGGAAATACAATTTTACAAATGGAGATGGATTGAATCGACAATGCGATTAAAAGTCTAAATAAACAAGCAATAAAACCCAATCGAATAAAATAAATAGTTAATTAAACTAAAACAATCTATAAAATAAAATTAATAAGCAAAATAATTAATAAAATAATATTTTGGAATTTTTTGTTTTATTAGCGACTTAGTGGATCATGTACAACATATTTTGAATTATTTATGAGATAGCGAGATTGTGTCGGAAAGAATTAGGATATGTGCAAAGTTATTGATTAGTGATTACCCTAACTAACTTAATTATATTTCTAAATGAATTCTTTACTAAAACTAATAAAATTAAGTACCATAGTACGAATTTGGTTATTTAAATGAAAATAATTTTTGTATATTTTTTTTTTGTTTGTGAGAAAAATTGAAAAGAAGATAAAAATCTATTGTATTTAAAGAGAATAAAATGATTTATTAAAATAAAAGAAACTAAATTTTATATATATATATATATATATATATATATATATATATATATATATATATATATATATATATATATATATATATATATATATATATATATATATATATATATATATATATATATATATATATATATATATATATATATATATATATATATATATATATATATATATATATATATATATATATATATATATATATATATATATATATATATATATATATATATATATATATATATATATATATATATATATATATATATATATATATATATATATATATATATATAATTTTCATTATGTAAGGAAAAGCAAAAAAAGTAAAATAAATAAATCCAAACTTTTAACAAAACAAAAGAATTAAGAGAATGAAATTGAGAAACCCAAATGTAGCCCAGAACAGGGGGGTGAGATAAATCTTGGTTGGGCTTTGAATGGGGTGACACCCCACAACATTATTGTTATTTTTCCAGCAAACTAAAAACAATAAAATAAAAATAAAATAAAATAAAAAACAAACTAGGCCGGACCGGGTCGGGTTCAACTCAGCTCCGCTCCAGAAATCAAATTGGGTTGTATAACCCTAGGAGAGAACAACGACGCCTC